CTTTTTACCAAAAATGACAAAAATATTCATCAAAATTAGAGAATTAAAGATATCATCATGAAATGAACAAATCTGAGAGAGGTCCACATGTAGTACCTATATATGTAATATCAAAGCAATTGGACTTGCGGTTTTCAACAAGAAGTCGAAAATATCACTTTTTACCAAAAATGACAAAAATATTTACCGAAATTAGAGAATTAAAGATATCATTACAAAATGAACAAATCTGAGAGAGGACCACATGTAGTACCTATATATGTAATATCAAAGCAATTGCACTTGCGGTTTTTAACAAGAAGTCGAAAATATCAGTTTTTATCCAAAAATGACAAAAATATCACCAAAATTAAAAATTAAAGATATCATTACAAATTAACAAATCTGAGAGAGGTCCACATGTAGTACCTATAGATGTAGTATCAAAGCAATTGCACTTGCAGTTTTTAACAAGAAGTCGAAAATATCAGTTTTTACCAAAAATGACAAAAATATTCATCAAAATTAGAGAATTAAAGATATCAACATGAAATGAACAAACCTAAGAGAGGTCTACCCAAGGTACATATACACCAAGTATCAAAGCATTTAGGCTTGTAGTTTTCAAGAAGAAGTCGAAAAAGTAAAACATTGACACGGACGACGGACGACGACGACGACGACGGACAATCACTCATATGATAAGCTCCGCTCGACAAAGTCGACAGCGGAGCTAAAAAATAAAAGTTGGTTATCATGAATTGACGATGATGCCCGTTGGCAACTATTGGTGGGTTGAATAACAAAAAATTCTTAGTTCTTTTGCATAAAAAAGGAATTGAATTAGCCAAAGAATAGAATTTCAGAAAAAAATCAATTTTTCCTTGGCATAATGTTATAACTTATGAGGCTCTCAAAATTTGAAATTCATGACAGATCAATGAAGAATCCAGTGGAGGGCACTTTGAACTGATCTGTAATTATTTTGTATTGAATTAATTTTGTTTGTAAGCTGCCTAATTTCTCCATACATTTATTTGTTAATGGATTGTAAAATACATGCCAAATAAAATATTACCCTTGTTTTTAATTAATAAATAAGTCAAAAACAAACTG